GCCAAAAAATATTAAAATATACTGATACACACACTGAAACAAAGTTTTATATTGAAAACTACAATTGCCATTTTGTTTGCATAAAATATATAATAACAGTAAATACCTTTAACCTGTAAAAATGTGAAAATCATCTAAGTGTGCATTATCAAGATTTTATATTTTATATTATATAGGTAATACAATGATCCCATGGACAATTACATGAGAACAAATAAGTCTTTAGAAGACAGTGATAGTAACTGCAATGAGCCCAACAACTGACATGAATACAGAGCAGTCTGTTCTGGTTCTGGATAAACATGACTTGGATGAATCTTTACAGATGTGTAGGTTTGTCTAACCCTTTCTCTTGTTCTCCCAGGGGGTTCAGTGGAGCCTGAAGATGATCTGCCGTGATGTTTTTAATAAACCAAACATAAAGCCAGTGATGTGTTCTTTCTTTGTGGAAAAAGTACCTTACATATTTTATTGTTAGCCTCTTTAGTGATTGTAAGGTTGCTCCTGTTGACCTGAGTCAACCATTTTTTCCTCCTCTCCATGTCAGCTGGGAAACCAAACATTCGTACTCATTTTTCTGACAGACAGTTCACAGACACAAACCACTTAACATGCTGTTTTCTGATTTATTAAATGAATACATGACAATCATTGATAGTCACCTGTCTGTTCTATCTGAAGTCATAAAGATTACATTAGTCAGTAAGCTCAATTAACCCTGGTACCATGGGATTACTAAAAGGAATGTTAGAAAGGTAAATCTGATCTGAATTTTAAAAACGTGTTTTCAAGAGGAACACACTTTCCAATGTAAGGGTAACTAAAAAGCTATTGTCAAAACTATATGTCCTGCTTTTAAAAAAATAGTAATGTAACTACACACACACATGTCAGTTTGTGTGTAGTTAGGTAAAAATTTTTACCATGGTTAACCGTTAAACTGGTAATGGTTTCATCCCTATTTACAACTATGATGTGAGGATGTAGAGGGACTATCCTTCTGGGAACGAGAAAAGAAAAAACTCAATGAGGGTGAACTGTGTGAACGTCAGGTAAACATGTGTTCTCTTCTCTCAAAGTCTGAGGTCAGCAGGTAACTGTAATATTAATGTGCAGCTGCAGTGAATCTCTGTCTGTCTGTCTGTCCTGCTAACCAGCTAAGCAGCACAGCTCTTGTCTGTCTGTGTCTTGGTTGCTTGTCACATTGACTGAACAATGAGTGAAATACAACTCTTTATTACATTTGATAAACGTAGACGGGCCACGGTGTTTATAAACTAGCTCGGGAAAAATGACCGTGTTGCACGTGAAAATGCGTTCATATGCGCGCGCACGTCATTAAACTCACGCATTCCAGCAAGAAACATCTGTGGGACCAGTCCAGACAGGATGTGAGGGCACTCCTCATACATCATTTTAAAACAAGACAGTGAAATTTACTTACAACTCTCGACTAAAGCAAGATGGAAAGCGGTGGATTCACATTGACTATTAAAATGTTGATTAGCTGGACAGACTGGGCAATAAGCATCACATATTCAGCCGAGTCCTTTTTTAAATAATATTTTATATTTGAAAATGTATGTGGAAAATATCTATAATTTACAGGGGCTGTGCTGAAGTTTGTTAGTAGTGTAGATGCTGGATCATCAGCCAGTACAAGCACAGCTGATCCACATCCAGCCTCAGTCAGTACCAGTACAGACCCAGTCCAGATGTCTTTAGCAGGTCCCACAGACCCAGGTCAAACACAGGCAGCCTCAGCCAGTACGAGCACATGACACAATGACCACGCAGACTGGCCCCCAGTCTTATCAGACTTCATGAGGTCTGAGTTAGTGCGCAGAGGTTCAAACCGGCACTGGGCTTTTCTAGAAGAGGTTTCCATTCAGGCTTATTAAAGAGGGAGGACTGTAGTGAGAGCATCCTTGTCTCATCTTAACATGCCCAAAGTCCGTCTGTCAGACAGTCTGAAGGGGATTCTACCACAACAGCAGAGCAATAATGCAGACTTATCCTATTTGTCCTCTTGCGAATCAGTTTTCCTTATTGTGATTCTCTATAAGTCACAATACTGTATTCAGACCTGCCTTTAAAAAGATGGATTGCGTTTTGTAAGATCAAGAGATTTTGTTGTGTAGCACTTTTAGTTTTGATTACTTTTTTTTTTAAATTATTTTTAAAACCATGTACTTTTTTTACTTTACTGAAGTAGGTTTATAATGGATGACTTTTACTTTTACTTGAGTAAATTTTTTTCATGTGGTATCTGTACTTTTACTTAAGTATGAAAATTGAGTACTTCTTCCACCACAGGGGCCGGAGCACGAACCCACCGAGGTCCCTTTTGAAACTGAAGGGATTTTTTTTCCCCCTGCAAAGTAACCTCAATTTTGGGGGCCTAAACATGCTCGAAAACTCACCAAACTCAGCAGCCCCTGGACAAAGTTTCACCCAGGTGCACAAAACTTATGTGGTACGTGTATCATCTCCAGAAGCACAAAAAAGCCTCTTGGAGTGAAGCCCCACACCCAACAGGAAGTCGGCCATTTTGGATTAAATGGTAATTTTTGGATGATTTACACACTCTGTACTTTAACAAACTCCTCCTAGGGATTTAGTCCGATCGACTTCAAATTTCTGCTGTGCAGTCTAAACCCATTGACGATTAAAAGTTGTACAAAAGGTTATTATCAGTCGACAAGCATGCCCCTGGCATGTCGTCAAATATCGATGATTCACTGTGAAACAGGAAGTCGGCCATTTTGGATTAAATGGTAATTTTTGGATGATTTACACACTCCGTACTTTAACAAACTCCTCCTAGGGATTTAGTCCGATCGACTTCAAATTTCTGCTGTGCAGTCTAAACCCATTGACGATTAAAAGTTGTACAAAAGGTTATTATCAGTCGACAAGCATGCCCCTGGCATGTCGTCAAATATCGATGATTCACTGTGAAACAGGAAGTTGTTAGAACTTCAGTCTACAAGTTCACATCTGCACCAAACTTTACATGTTTGATAACCCCGGACTCACACAGGCAGCGTGTGCGCGGCGTTACGGCGTGCCGCGGCTGCCGGAGCAAATCGCTGCCATTGTAGTCAATGCTTGTGCTCACACCTGAAAGCGCCACAGCGTGTCCCAGAAGCGGCTCTGCGCGAAGAATAGGCAGCTGGTCTATTTTTGAGGGAAGACGCGTCAAGCAGCACAGGGCAGATGAGCCGGGCAGGAAGTCATTGTGCATTGTGTGTGAACACTTTCAGCGAATCTACTCATGCGAGGAAAGCGCCGCGAGGATTAAATTCGCGTTTGGTCTGAAAGCACCACTACTGTTCTGCTTTTTAATGATTGTAATAATGAATAGAGGTCCGTTTCAGTCAGTTTGACAGCCTGAATACAACCTTCAAATGTAAAATGCAACTGCAAAACTTTCTGCTTCTTTCTGAGATCGCTTTTTCCAACAAATTTGACAATATTTCTCCAGGGAGTGCAGTAATAGACAGTGGCAGCGCCGTGATAAAAGTCGTAACAGCTCCGACAGCTTGTCAGAACACTAACTAAGGGGGGCGTGGCTTACCGAAGGATCAATTGGCCCACTAGGTGGCGTTTTTGTTGGAAACTCATATTACTCTGAAATAATTCGTGTCGCCGCACATTTCAAAATAAAAGTGAGCTTCTGCTGAACGTAATGCAATTGATGTGGCAGAAACGATTGAATAAATAAATAAATACTGAAGACACCACAAGTGTCTAAAGAAAATATTACATTCTCACAGAAAGCTTACTACATTCAGCCAAGATTCGAACTCATGTAAAAAGAAAACCTTCTGTTTCCACTGACTCATTTCACTTCAAAGTGACAGCAGACAACCTCAGGGAGACCCTGAGGTCAATTTAAATATTGGCGAATAGTCAAAATATTACACACTTTCAAGGGCTGTAACTTTAAAAACCTGAGTTAGTGGAAACAGGAGGTTTTCTTTTAACATCCATCTGAAATCAGCAAATTCAGTGAAAATATTACACATTTTCAAGGGCTGTAATTTCAAATAACTACATCAGATCGCTCTGATATTGACAGAGTGTCTCCCTGAGGTGGTCTGCTGTCACTGTGAGTCAGTGGAAACAGGACGTTTTCTTTTTACGAGTTCGAATCTTGGCTGAATGTAGTAAACTTTCTGTGAGAATGTAATATTTTCTTTAGATACTGGTGTCTTAAGAATTTATTTATTTATTCAATCGCTTCTGCCACATCAATTGCATTATATTCAGCAGAAGCTCACTTTTATTTTGAAATGTGCTGCGACACGATGTTACCGTAATGCCTAGAAACGCATTGCAAAACAGCGCGAGGGCTGGCTTGACTGTAGTTTTCGAAGTGGAGGCTGGCTTGACTTCAGTGTGGTATCCATCACCTTGAGAACGACGCCACTGAGGTTACCTGCCTGGAACCTTTTGTATGAGAAGCGAAATGTTTTCAAGTATCTAAGTACCAAGTCCAGTGACATTCAGTGATGTGATGTGTCCCTCAGTTTGTCACAGTCACGCATTGTGCAGCACAGTATGCTGCATGTTCTAATAGAATCCATTGCTGTTCACTGTGATCTAGCTCTGGGAAGTTAGAGATTAACAAATCAAACTTCCTAACACCATTTTAAGGAGGGAAACAATAAAGGAGAATAGACTTCAATAGACCCAAAATTATGCTACTAATAATACATCCATGTGCACAATAGAGCTGGAAGGTACATTAAAAGACAATACAGGTATACATGATGCACAAGCATACGTTGTATGACGGTTGTGGATAAGATAACGTGACGTTTATGACATTTAACGACCAGTTACCAGCAACGTTATGTTAAAGACAGGCCGGTTAGATTAAAGACTGGCCCAGACACAGCAAGCTAATGTCCTGCCAGTGTTAGACAGACAAACAATAACTTCAGCTACGTCAACACTATTTAGCGTCATTTACTAACGTTAAAATAACTTACGTGCTACCACACGAGGTCACACGGAGCAAGACTGAGCAGATACGGTAAAAGCCTGTCCACTGCAACACAATAATATGTATTTTGGCTTCTGTAGTCACCAGGCGACGAATCGAGATAAAAAAGAACTTCCTGTCAGATTTACAGAATAAAAGTGTCATGTTTCCGGAATCTGACTGACTCGCAAATTTAGCTGGAAACCAATTACTATATATATATATATATATATATATATATATATATATGTATATATATATATATATATATATATATATATATATATATATATATATATATACAGACAGACAGACAGAGAGATACTCATCTTTTATTCTGAAAAGTGGAAGTGTGGCTGTTACTGATCCCCACCAACGACACACAAGTTAACGCATCAATACAGGCGATTGAAACACGTCTAGCAGCGGCAGCGAACAGGTACCATTTTTATCTACTAATCATAACGTTATCGCTTTAAAATGTCACATAAAGCTAAGTCTCAAACTTACGTTAGCTATACTTTAGACATATTCAGTTAAATTTATCACAGCTCAGATTCGAAGTCTAACGTTAACCTGCCAAAACACACACCAACGCACAAGATAGCTAACATTAACGTTAGCTCATTTAAGTTACAATACCGACATGACAATTACCCTTTTTAAGGAGCTCATTTACAGAAAAAAAGATGTGTTTTTATCCTAACAATGTGCTTACTTAGATAAAGGTTCGGGTATGTTTATATGTAACGTTACCCCTAATAGCTTAGCGCTGACGGTAAAGATCTTTTGTTTCTTCCGGTTTAGTTCAGGCGTGACATCTGTTTATTCATAACGTTAATGGTGGCTTTCCGTGGTGAAAAACAAGAATCAGGATTCATTTTGAACATATAGAAACTGGTATAGCAAAATAAGTTCCGTTTTTAGGTCTTCTTTTTTCCACCATACAGATGTTTCCTTTCTAACCTCCTAGTAATAATGACATATTTGCTTTTGCTGGCATTGGCCAGCTGTTTCATGAATATGAAACAGTCGTGTCTACCATAATGGTTGAATTATAAGGTTGTAAATTAGTTTTTAAGTGGCTGTAGAGGTACATAAAGGGGAAAATGTTCAATGTTTCTGGTGGAGTACGTGCTGTGTTCTATGAGTAGGATGGCCCTGTTTCCATAGTTTCCTCTCTCAGAGGGCTGTGATGTCACACTCCTCCTCTCCCTGTTATTACTCTGTTACCATCGATGAGTCACCAAGCAAGCTGAACGTCTCAATGATTTTTCCTTTCACAGTCCCAATACAAGATAACATATCGTGTGAGGACTTACTCTGTCTACAAATTACAGTGCCATTACCACCAGTTATTTATTTTTCTGTCTGAGGTTAAATGAAAGAAACAAGTACAGAGACAGTGAGTTTTTATAATAATGCATGGTTATTGAGGACTTGCGAGCAGTTTTAACTACTCTGTTATTAGGTGTCATTGTCAGTGCAGTAGAGCATTCTTGATGTTGATTATTGATGCTGATTTGTCAAGGTAACAGTATAATTATTTGGTAATAGGAGGAAATGCCAATCAGCCCACTGTTAAGTGAAGTTAGTGAAGTGTGGATCATAAATTAGTATATTATCCTGTAGTATGGCAATATTTGTTACAAGTCTCATATTTATGTGTAATATGTAACATTTGCATGTAACTAGAAAATACTTTTCACCACCACTGTGGGGGAAATAAGTACACTTGAACTTAAACATTAAACATTAAACATATTTCCAATGTAGCCTTTCACATGACATTTAGACCAGACATTGGAATTAATCAAGCTGCAAACTTCTGGTCTCATTTCTGAGGCCATATAGATAGATAGATAGATAGATAGATAGATAGATACTTTATTTATCCCGAGGGAAATTCAAGAATAGAATATAGGAAGTAGGGCTGGGCGATGTGGCCAAAAATGTTATCACGATAAAAACATTTCATGTTATTCGATATCAATAATTATCACAATATATGTCAAATCGTTATTTCTTTCTAGTTTAAAGGCTGATTTTTGCTCCTGAGTGAACACTGAAGAAACCAGATGGTTAATTATGTGGTTAAACGTTTCTTAATGGTCAGAACTTGACAAACACTTGATGTCAAACAGAGGATCACTTCACAAATCTGAGTCAGAACATTTAAAACTATTATCTTTTTCAACAAATATAATTAGCTAATCTTTTTTCAACAAAATAAACATTTTAATAGAAAAATTAGGTGCTAATTTGTTTGTGATTTAAATGAATTAATACAAATATTCATTGACGATATATTGAACATTTATTATATCGTTATTGAGAAAAGTTATGTTGCGATAATTATCATTATTGTTTTACTACCCAGCCCTAATAGGAAGTAACTAAAACTGCAGTTCATGGAGTGGCTCTCATGTGGTCAGAGAGTGTAGGCAGTTCCTGGATGACAAAGGCACTGATGCCATTGACTGGCCCTCATGTTTCCCAGAACTGAATCTACAGTATCCCACAAAAGTGAGAACACCCCTCACATTTTTGTAAATATTTGATTATATCTTTTCATGTGACAACACTTAAGATGTGACACTTTGCTACAATGTAAAGTAGTGAGTGTACAGCTTGTATAACTAAATTTGCTGTCCCCTCAAAATAACACATCACACAGCCATTAATGTCTAAACCACTGGCAACACCAGTGAGTACACCCCTAAGTGAAAATGTCCAAATTTGGCCCAATTAGTCATTTTCCCTCCCTGGTATCATGTGTGTAGCATATCTACTTTACTTTTAATACAAATTATGAATATTAATATTCGAAATATTAATTCATAAATCCTCGTTAAAGGTTCAATGTGTAATATTTCTGATGGACAATTGACAGAAATGCAATATAAGGTCCATAACTATGTTTTCAGTGGTGTGTAAAGACCTTACATAATGAACCGTTATGTTTTTATTACCTTAGAATGAGACATTTATATCTACATAACCACGGGCACCCCCTGCTGTGGAGGTTGCTGTATTTTGTCATCATGTTTCTACCGTAGCCGTCAACGAACAAACAGCGCTACCGAGCTTGTTTCGTCATCACAGCGTTCTTCTTCTGCTTGTGTAATTCCGGTAGTGTAGATGCCCGTCACTACATTGAATATGTACAAAGAAAAAGAAGAGGGAATAATAATAATAATAATAGTAATATCTTATATCAGTCTTTGAGTAGTCTTCTGGTTTATTAGAAGTAAGAAGAGAAGTGACATTTGGACAGCTGAAGGAGCACACAGGTGTTATTTAGCACGAGAGCCGACAGCCAGACGGAGTGGGGACAGACAGCTGACGGTGTTCTGACGCAGAACCGCTAAGTAGCACATCTCGATAGGTAGCATAAATCGACAAATCAATCAGGCCATAACGTTAATGTGGGACAGATGTTTTCAAAGCGGAGCTGAAGTTGTGTGTTTTCTGCTGGACAGATAATAAGCTTCGTTTGCCAGACTTAAGCAATGCAAATACAAATTGTTGTTTGATAGCTTTAACGTTAGCTATTAGTTGGCCATAATCACAGAGAGACTTGACATTTTTCCCCGGTCAGTGGTGTGAAATATGGATTAATCTGTTGCCTACTTATTCTCCAGGCTGTGGTTTGGTTTTGCTGGTTACGGTTACGTTGGCGAGACAATCAGCTGTTCAGTAACATTAATTGGCAATAAATCCGTAACGTTAGCTTAGAGCATGGAAGCATCAGCCAGCTAAACTTTTACTCACTGGTAGAAAAAAATTTATTGTTAGTTGGATTGGTTTATTCTCCAGCGCTCTACTTTGGCTTGTGGTATGTTAGTTGGATTAATATCATGTAGTTATCTCTCTCTCCAGCGCTCTGTTTTGGCTTTGTATGCTACGTTCTTGAGAATCAGCTGATCGCTAATTGGCAATAAAACAGCAACTTCCAGCATCGGAGCTCAGATCAGCCAGCGAAACTTTTACTGCGCTGTAGAAAAAATATGTAGTTGGATTGTAATTTCATGTAGTTCTTCTCCAGCGCTCTGTTATGGCTTTGTTACGTGGACAGAAATGTACCGTTACCTTCCTGAGACAAACAGATGATGAATATTATTGGTAATGAAACAGTAACAACAGGGAAGCTCAGATCAGCAGCTAAACTTCACATCCTACTGCCCTGGTGGAAAACATATATTTCTTTTTACTGCTAATGGTGATCTATAACAAGACCTGTGCCTATCAAGTGACCAATAATGAATACTTTCCGAATTTGAATTTAAAAATTTTATTAGATATTGCGTCCCACTGTGCACACAAATATGTAATTTGTACTTTCACATGCTAAATGGCCATTAAAAATGTTGCACCGTTTTACCACAAGCTGAAATTATGGCTGTCAGTACTACTTTGTGTTTCTGTTGTATTTCAAAAAATTAAAAAGACATATTGGTAATATTTACATGCTTTGTAAACTTCATGTATTATGTGGTTTATAATGGGCTGTGGTGCAGAAACAGTGAAGCTTACATTGTCCTGGTATCTGTCAGTGGTCATACTGGATGCACTAGATGTGATAGTTTTTGAGAATTTCTTCATTTTCATTTTCTTCTATGTTAGTCCAGATGAGCCAACACTCCCAAGATGTAAAATAATGTATTACAGGAGTATGAGACATCATGTAGCACTTCATTTCTTCATGTGGCTGTTGTTTATTAATGAAAAAGTAACATTAATATTCAAAAAAACATTTGGTTATACATAATTTATATAATTTCTTAAAGGCAGGGTGGGTAAGTTTGAGAAACTAGCAAGAAACTGCTGCATTTTTGAAAGTATCCAACAGAGAAACTTCCACCCCCTCCCTTCTGGGCTCCTTCCAAAGCCACGCCCCCAAAACACGTGAACGTGCGTTACCAACTCTGCTGGAGGACGAGCACAGTGTGACGAGCGGCGAGCAGCGCAATGCAGCGGCTCACATCAGGGGTAAGAAAACATTTTACTTGATGATGTTGATGAATGTTTTTTCCACTTACACAGATCTGTCCCATTTGGGGTTCTAACAACTATATATTCCTTTACAGATTACAGACCAGAATTTGAGGACTGACAACATCCAGACTACAGTGTTTCCATGCACCACACAAGGCTGATCTTCCAGACCCAGCACAGAGTAACAGACAGTTCAGTCAGGCAGCATACAGTTTGTAGTGTGGCAGTGTGGAGCACTTAGACAGAGTCGTGATACTGAGTTGCTGTTTCTGGAAGATATGCAACTGTTCTCCTGATCCATTAGGACAATACAGAGGTTTAATCCTAGCAGGGTGTCACTAACAGACACAGTGCTACACAAATAATTCCCTCCACTGTGTGAATGAATACCTGTACATTGTTTTTGTTTTATGCCCAGGAGGGTAGAGAAAATACAAAGAT